TGCTTGCTTAGGACCATGCAAATGTTTCGGTCGTTTTTTAACCCACTTCCCGTCATCCAATCGAGCTGACATTTTGCACACAGACTCGTTGTGCGTGACAATTAATGTTCGTGAAACATTTTTTCCCAAATTTTACACTTTTTAGGGAATTTTTTTATAAATATTTAATTACCAATTGCTTAATGGTGGCAGGCAATCATCTGACCCATAGGTGGCAGCCATCTCAAGCCAGAGGACAAGAGGACTCTAGCCGCCACGCATATAAAGGATTTATAGTGAAAAACTTTGTTTTTACGGGTAATTTTTTGTTACAGGTAGGAACAACAGTTCCCCACCGCCCACCAGGGATTATGTGTCTGTCGTGCATAGCCCCTCCCACCGTGTACACGCTCCCGGATTGGTTGAAGTGCGTCACGTGACCGCGAGCTTTCTGCCCAACCAAGTTCCTAGCTGGCCACTGTGAAGGAACGTGATTGTGCTGTGGATTCAGAAACCCGAGTTTGAGGGTGACGTCCGAACTGCTGATTGTTTGGGCGCTGACCACTGGTGAAGTACCCGTCTGGTCACTGCCTGCATCTTGGAGTGGATTGAACAAGGGCTCTTGATATTATTGAGCTTTGATTAAAAGCCAAAAACCTTTAAAGTACAATTTCAGGAATTGTTTTTCTGGATAAACCGCGGAAAAAATATATCCAATGTTTGAGTTTGCATACGGAGCCCAAAACCACCTGTACGTTTTGCAATGTGCTTTATATTTTGTAGCACTCACTGCCTTTCATGTAAACTGGTACCAGGTGCATACAGCGCATGGGAACGTTCAATTCGAATGCGCAATTCCCTGGAATAGCCACAGTAGTGATTTGTTTAAACAAGTTTTGACAATAAAAACAACTCTCTTTGAACCGTTAACACAATCTTTTCTGACGGTGTTTTTTAAATACTGTCTCGTTAAACCACCCCGTCACGCCCGCCAATTAGCAAAGTTTGTCACGTAAACAAAGCGTGCCAATTCGTTATAAGCTCAGCACACCTGTGCTGCACCCGAAACGTCATTTCATTTCGTGTTTTCATTTCTAATTTGTTTCACCCACGTGACTTTCACATCTATAATTACAAGCGCACAACTTCATCCGTGATGGACGTTGCACTGTCCATCCTTTACATGCACGGGGCGCTTCAAACTCCAGGTCAGAGGTCGCAACCGGGTACCCGATACCGTACCCTACCCTATACATGGCTACCCGTACCCAGTCGGGTACGGGTAGCCGTTTGCGACCCTGGTGCGGCCGGGTACGGGTAGCAGGAGTCACTGGTGAGTAGCCGTTTGTCACTCATTTCGGGTAGGGTACGGGTAGGGAACGGGTACCCGTACCCAGCTGGGTACGTGTACCCATTTGCGACCCTGGTGCAGCCGGGTACGGGTAGGCCGTGAGTCACTTGTGAGTCGCCGTTTGTCACTCATTTCCCAACGTCTTGTCTCTTCTCACAATTCAAGTTCCTAGAATCAACCCACCCGCGCCTGCAACATGGCTTCATCCCAGAGGTCGCAACCGGGTACCCGATACCCCTACCCAATACCCGGCCGGGTACGGGTAGCCGGTATCGGGTAGGGTACGGGTACCGTTTTCGACCCTGGTGCGGTGGGTACGGGAAGGCGTGGAGTCACTGGTGAGTCACCGTTTGTCACTAATTTCCCAACGTCTGTCTCTTCTCACAATTCAAGTTCCTAGAATCAACCCCGCGCCTGCAACATGGCTTCATCCCAGAGGTCGCAACGGGTACCCGATATCCGTACCCTACCGATACCCGGCTACCCATCCCGGCCGTTTTCAACCCTGGTGCGGCCGGGTAGGGTAAGGAA